AAAATCCAGAAGGAAATCTCATTTTTGGCTCTGGACATTTTTTGAAATCTTGACATACTCAATAATCGCTTATATCTTCGATTATTTTTGAGCAAATTAATGATAACTATACATCATTGGAAAGAGCATTAAATTCTCTATAAGCCCGTGCAAAATTGGTTTTTGTAGATGGTAAAGTTTCTAAGATATTGAACTTCAAAGTAGAAATGTAGTTAAAATTTTGTCCAAAACTTTAAACTCGATTTTCTCAAAAACTATAAATGCTAGCGATTTCAGCTAAATACCATCTTTAAGCCATTTTAATTCCTGAAAATGTTGTTCCAGTATCGCTTTCAGTTACCGAGATATTTAAGATTGAAGATTTCCAATTAAAAATCCGAAGGGTGTACCTTTAAAAAAGTGCAAAAAATTGAAAAGTCCTAGTTTGCCATTTTTCTTAATTGTGACTTTAGAAATCAATAGAGCGAGTCCAAATTTGTCAGAAACAACTCTAACATCAATTACATTTGGAAATAGACCTATCTATTTTACCAGACAAAGAGGTAATAATACGAAAACTTCATTAAATAAAAAAAGACACAGAACGCTCATTGCGCAAGACGAGGCAAAACGTACCAAATTATGATAGACTTACGTAAAGCAATCCGTCCTTCTTATTTGCACAGGATAAAAAGGAAAGGAGAAAAACCGCGTGTTGTGCAACGTATTTGTCAATGAAAATGTCAAACAACTTTTGAATGACACTTGTCAAGTTGAATATCAACTTTAGATTTATTCTTGTCAGACCACATGCAATGAACAAGGATAAAGAGATGCCCAGCGTGCAAAACGATCACCACACACCTGTATTAGCTAGCCAATAAAAAGACATTGCCTCGTGTTGCGCGCGCATACCAGGTAAAAATAGATAGGTCTATTTCAATGAGAAAAAAAATCCAAACGGAAATCTCATTTTTGTCTCTGGACATTTTTTGAAATCTTGACATACTCATGAATAATTGCTTATATCTTCGATTATTTTTGAGCAACTTGATCAAAATCATATATCCTTGGAAAGGGCATTAAATTCTTTATGAGCCCGTGCAAAACTGATTTTTGAAGATTGTGAAGTTTCCAAGATATTGAGCCTCAAAGTGGACAATTTTGCTTGACAAAGTTGAAGAGCATTCAGCTATTCTATTAAAGCCCGATTAGGCTGAACTCACTTGATTCAGTTGAAACCACATTCTGCAGCTGACACCCAACAGCAAATCATAATTCAACCATTTCTCGCCGGTATTCGGTAGTGCCCCACTGCTACACTTACCTTTAATAGTATAATCGTGTAACAAATGAGATCCTACTATTATGGCGTACGGCTTCCACGGGGGACACCAATTACCAAAAAGAAATAATCAAACCATGATTTGTTGCACTGGATATCAGTGAAACGCAACTTCAATTGTTAAATGTTAAGAGGAAGTTATTGATAACATACAAAATCCCAAGATAATAGGAATTGATGGTAATATCGTAGGTAAAAATAATAGCGATTTAGAGGCAGATATAATGTGAAAAAAATGGATTAACAACAAATAATGGGTCAGTAAAAACTGTACATAAATATGTACTTAAATAGCAAAAATAATACAGAGTTGATTTTGGAAACAAATTCAAATGCCTATTATGCAATATGATCATGAAAGAAAAAAAAAAAGTATAGGTATTATAGACTGCTAAACATGTACACCTTTTGACGATTTTAATGTGGGCATTTGCTTTAATTGTGGCAAGTACGGTCATAATGAAAAGAAAAGCAGGAATAACACTTGTTGCATTTATTGTGCGGTAAATCAGTCCTTCAAAGTGTGTGGTAAAAAAGAAGAATTAAAATGTACTTATTGTGATAGTTACAAAAATAGGAATGGTACAGTCAAAACGACAACTACTAACCATGCAGCAAACTATGTGAGTCATATAAATATTTCTTGTCTTGAAAAATTAGTTCCACAACTTCAACTCTATTTCGAACAAGTAGATATCAAACTAACAGTCAGCATACATATAATTCAATTGATGTTATTAAATGGATTTGGACAACTTTTTGGAAGAGTTTGAGCCAGTGGAGAAAGAAGTAGATGTAAAAGGTATCAATGAACTATTGAATATTGGTAACTTCACAATCCTACATGTAAATGTTAGAAGCCTGAATGCAAATTTTGAGAGCCTGGCTCGATGTCTATAATGTCTGCCCAGCGAGTCTGTGTCTACGGGGCAGCAGTGAGGGGAATGCAGTTGTAAAAAAAAATGGCTGATTTCATTCATAAAATACCCAGCTGCGTGCGTAACTTTTTGGAAGTGTTATCTTATTGCAACTCGTACACGAAAATCAATAATAACCAAACTCCCGCCACTGGATATTTCAATATAAATCAATATTCCAAGATGGGAGGAAACAATGACGGGAGCCCTAGCCAATAGCGAGACGTAAGGTGACGTTAACCCATTGACAACGGCATGGTTCCCCGTGGCAACGGCAATAATGCCAAAAACTCCACCAATCAGGGTCATCCAGGCCGGATGCTTGCCAAATTGACAAAAGCTGATGGAATCTTTAGAAAATGTCTATCTTTTACAATAGACCAAATTGAAGAAATCAGGTATTTAAATAAGAATAGATCGAACAACAACGTTAAAATATTTAACGTTTTATTATTGTTATCTATATTTTGTTATTAAAAAATGGATTTTCAAATGAACTATATATTATACCTAGTATTTTCGCTTTTTTATAATTAAACGTGACAACATCGTACATATACATCCGAATTCCTTCCGTAGACTCAGAACCGCTGGGCAAACAATATGTACCTTGGAATCTCTCCAAAAAAGATTACTGAAAAAGTCCTTGAGAGTGATGTTAATCTCCCTGTTTGTTCCACTGAAACTAGAACAGTCCTTCATTTTTGAGTCTCTCACATTTCATTTCATTACGAGCATCCAAAAAGAAACTTTATGTAATAAACTAGCATAACAAGATTTTCAATAAACTTCCAAATACAAAACTTTGAAGTACAATAAAGAAACAGTCAAACGAAAATTTAAAAAATGGGTGGGATATAATATCGCAAGTCTGTTTACATTACCCTGGTCCCGTTTTGTCTTACTTCTTTCAGTCATTCAGTGATGATTCATCAATTAGGTATAATATAATTGAGATAAACAAATCCTTCCATCTTTACTTGCTGAAATGCACAAAACACCAATTTCAGATTATTTAGATAATGTGATGAAAAACCTTTTCTTTTTAGAATGATCATTATTCCAGTGGCAAAAATTGCCCAAACTACTTAGTGCAAAACAATAATTATTATCATTTTTTATGTAGATACCCACTGTGTACCTATTATGCATCAGATAATATGTACTGGTATTACTATGTAGATATATATCTTTTCGATCATGGTACCTTTTGAAATGGTTCATTTCATGTTCAAATAAACGTCCACTACGTGTCGACCCAAAAAAGTCATATTTTTCAACCTCTTTCCGACATCGAATTTTGGTTAATCGACGTAAATCTATTTTAATTCGACGTCATAACGACTAACATTTGCTGCTTGGGATGTTTGTCGGAATAGGAAAAAAAAAAACCTGCTGGAAAACATCCTCCAGCATTTTAAATGTTTGAATGGATTTGGACCAGACGACTTTTTCGCAGATCTGTTTTTGTATTAAAATTGTACTTGCTAACATCAAATGTTCTCTATCTTAGCCCCGCTTTATTCATCTTGAGATAAACTTGCTGGTAACTATCTGCAAGATAAATTATTTACAGATCCATAATCCTGTTGGTCACTGGATAATTGGTTGACCAATGGAATTACATATTGCGTTTTTATCCGTCAGATTGTATTACCTGACAGCTTGCCTGACAGTTTATTTGAAAGTGAATAAACCGACTCTTATATGACATGATTTATGTATTTAGTAAGAGGCTCTTGAAGATCCAGGAATAGACAAAAATTTAAAAATTGAAAGGCAGGCATTAGGGGAGAATGGAGTAGATAAGTAAACTTGTAGTACCTATATGTTATTTCTATTCCAGGCTCTTGAATTTCCTTTATATAGAGATATTTTAGAAAGAACAATTCAAGAGCTGGGAATAGACAAAAATTGAAACGGAAAAATTTAGAAATTTAGAGTAGAAATTTAAGGAAAATTTCTAAAAAGCAGAAGTATCTTTGAGAAAAAAACCATCATTCGACTATTTTAAATCAATTTTTCTGTCTAAGCTAGTAGATAGATATAGGTATCTATGAAAATTAATTTCTAGAAATTTTGTAGAATCATATCTGTAGCTACCCATTTATATTTAGATAAGAATCTGAAAATTTCAGAGGATTGAGAATCCTGTTCTAGTGAAGGACTACAAACCCTGAAAATTTCAGTTCCTTTAGACTTCTAAGAAAAGGAAATTTCATCATTTATAGTATGGAACTTGATCATTTAAGACAAATTCTCAACATGGAAATACATACATATTTGAAATTCAAGCGTTTTTTTAAAAACGTTAACACCAAAATCATAATTTAACATTGCAAGTTGGTTACTCCTAACTTGATATTAATTTCCGAATCAAATCTTTGCTTTCAGGCTTCAGATTGGCAAAGCAAAGAAAATTAAACCTCAATAAATTGCTCATTATTTTCCAAAGGAAATCATTGCATATTTTTATATATATCAGACAAAACATTTCATTAGCAACATAGACGAATCACTATAATTTAGTTTATCATAGACATTAAAACATGGCCAAACCAGTACTTTAAACGCAATTTATCTATTCACATAAAAATTGGACTCTGAGATGGTAGCGTACATGGTTTTTTTTTGCATTCTACAGTGTCGTGCTTGTTTATTAGCAATATATGTATTGTGTTATGCACAAAATACAAGACAAATGCATTAAAAAAGTTACTTATTTTTTTTAAATATTGACTTTGAATTTGGAAGATCGTTTTAATTCTGACCATTGTTGTTGTAGGTACTGTTCTTTGCAAATTGAAAATTATTTTCTACGTCATACAACCGCCACTGTTCTCGTTTTAATTATTCGGAAGCCTCTCAATATAATTAAGAAAATACTGTAATTATTATTTAGGAACTTTTTCAACAAAACCCAGTATCAAATACCTATGAGGTAACGTTTGTTTGATGATGATGTTCGTTTTTGTTAGCTATCTTTTCGCTGTATTAATTGGTGAGAACCAAAACCATAGTTTTTAATAAGATTTGATACAAGTTTTTCAATATTAGGGCTCGCAACATGCCAGGGCAGTTTAGATGGACCTACTGTTAAAATTCCACAAGGACTTGTGCAAGGCATCTACAAAAAATCTTATAAAAATAAGACATATTCGGCTTTTGAGGGGATTCCTTATGCAGTACCACCTGTTGGAGACCTACGATTTAAGGTAAGTAGAGGTTTTTAAGTGGTGAGTTAAGTTCTAGTTTTAAGACCTTTAACAGAAACTTGACTCACCCGTTTCTTTCCTCCGTACTTTGTAGCCTCCTCAAGCAGCTGCAAAATGGACAGGTGTGCTAAAAGCCAACAAGCACTACGAATGCCTACATTTCTTGCCTTTGGTGATTGTTGGACCTCGAGGTAAGCATTATTTACATACTTTATAAACTCAGAAGGTACCTACCTACTGTACGTTTAAAGAACTATTCAAGACGATTCAAATTCTAAATATTAGGTACAGATATAGACCCATCACTGAAGGAATTTTAATGTTAAATGTGTAATTTGATTATACCAGGAGTTATTACGTTCCTACCTAACTAGTTCTTGTTGCAATTTCCTAGAAAAAAACTTGTATTTTTATTATTATTTTAAACATAGTATTCAGCCTCTATGTCCTTTAGCTCCGGGCAGTGGCGGATCTAGCATGAAGCAAACGACGCACTGTGCGTCGGGCCCCCAGAGCTGAGGGGCCCCCACACAACCAGATTCGAAAGGGACCGATAAAAACAAATAAAAAAGAACTCGTATATATATAAAAAAAAAACGAAAATTAAATTTTGAAAGAGACGGCAGCGATGTATACTAGGATGCCTATTCTTGAAACCAGGGAACAGCGTTCTCACGAGAAAGGACGATTGCTCTGTCTTTGTCAGTGTTATGGAAATAGAAATATGGGCAACTAAGACAGAACGCTTATCTCCTGTTTCGACAATAAAGGCCCTGTAGGGAATCCAGGGCTGGAATCATGACAAGTAGAATTCCACTTTCATGACGTCATTCGCGACACATTTATCGCGTACAGTACAGGCGATGATGACAATTGTTAGGCAACCTGACGTCATAAAAGAGAAATTTTAGTAGAATGTCGTGATCCCAGCCCTGATGCACTCGACGCGATAATGCGGCAATCGCGGACGCGTCGACTTTAGGCGGCTTTTTTAGCTATTAGGCAATTTTTCGCGAGGATAATCAAGCATAATCTGATTATGCTGGGTTATGTGATGTGTCAATTGTATCATACTCCCCTAACTTCCTCTACATCAAATTCTGCGAGTGACGTCACTACTATCAGCTGCTTGTAGTGATGACGTCACCCGCAGACCTCAATGGAATGCTTGCGATTCAGGCTGTGCTAGTGTTAATTTTTTCGTCGATTTTAAATGTAGAAAAGGTGATTTCCGGTCTGTTCTCTCAGAAGAAATTAGGTGTTCTTGATCCTCCAGTATCCCAGAATTTGATGGTGGGGGAGCTAGGGGAGTATGACACAAATGACACATCATATAATCCAGCAAAAGATTATGCTTGGTTATCCTCGCAAAAAATTGCCTATTGTCTTCCAGACTCAGATAATTTATGGCACTTGTCGGTGGAGTACGGACAGTATCAGTGCAGTGCGGTACTACTATGATGTATTTCTTTTTGGTTAGATAAAAAGTTCCTGAATTTTTATAAATTTTTTTTTCGTTTAACTTCTTGATAAACTTGTTTTTTGATTAAATTTATTTCTATATTTGGTTGTTAAAAACTTCAAAAATATAAATAACTTTCGCACACTCACTTTACACCCCAACACCACACGAAAAATACCTAAAAAAAGCATGACAGGGCCCCAAAAAAAAAAATTGCGTCGGGCCCCAAAGATCCTAGGTCCGCCAGTGGCTCCGGGCCTGGTGTATCTTCTTGAAAAAAAAATCGAATTCAGTTCAATATCGTTTACACCTTAGTTTACACTGCTTAAATTATTGGAGCATCAATACATTTAATTGCTTAGATACACTTTAAATAAAAAATAGACAAAACTACGGCAATTTTGATTAGGTACCTAATTATCTTCACAATTATCTATTCCCACGTGGATTATAAATCAAATAAGAAAATGATGGTCAAGGTACCTATAGAGAAAATTCAACTTGAATGACCACAGAAAACAGGAAAATTCAAAGCTTACTTTTATACAGGGCGTCCTTAAATGAACTGACACATTTTGCAGGTAACAGATATCTTGAATTAATTGAGCCGATACCCCAAGTCCAAGAGCCCAGAGCCGCCAGACACAACTTATTTTCTAAAGGACAGAATATGTAGGATTGAGTAGCACTTATAGCCCCACTTAGCGGATATACATACGTTCATAGTACATATAAATGCTACACAATCCCACATATTCTGTCCTTTAGACAAAAAGTTGTGTCTGGCGGCTCTGGGCTCTTCGACTATTGGTGAAAATTGAATTTATCTATGGTTGGAAAAAATAATAAAAAGTATTTATACTTAATTTTCACTAATTTATGTACAACAGTTGTAATAGCCCATACCAATAAAAGCAAATCAATTTTTCCAATAATAAACTAAAATTTTAGGTACCGAAGATTGTCTATACGCGTACGTATACGTACCACGTGAAACCATAAACCCAAACGAACTCCTCGATGTCATAGTTCATATCCACGGAGGTGCCTTCATGATGGGCTCGCCAAAATTCATGGTAGGACCTGAATTTTTAATGGACAGAGACGCCATAGTGGTCTCCATGAATTACAGATTGGGTATTTTGGGATTTTTAAGTACCGAAGATGACGTGGTTCCTGGCAATAACGGTTTGAAAGATCAGAGTTTAGCTCTGGAATGGATAAAGCATAACATCAAATATTTTGGTGGAAATCCTGCTTCCATTACCATTACCGGTCTGTCTGCTGGGGCAGCAAGTGTGCATCTGCATTATTTTTCTCAGTTGTCAAAAGGGTTGTTTCATCGGGGATTTTCTCAAAGTGGTACGGCATTGAATTGTTGGGCACTAACTGAAAATCCTCTGGAAAAAGCCAAGGCTGTAGCAAAAAATGTCAGCTGTACCACTTCATCCTCCAAAAAAATGGTGGAATGTTTGAGACAAGTCGAAGGAAATGCTTTGATTCAGGGCTTGAGAACTCTTTTTGTGTATATGGATGCAGTACCAATTACACCATTTGGTCCAATTGTTGAAAAAAATCCAAACGGGGCATTTTTGAGTGAACATCCATATAAAATGCTTCAGAAGGGGGATGTTTATGATGTTCCATGGATAACTTCAAATACGAAAGATGAGGGTCTATTTCCAGTCGGACGTAAGTCGATATGCTAGTTTTAGTGCAAATGAAATTTGAAAAATTGTTTCAGTTATTTTTGCTGGTAAAAAATTTAGCGAATTCGAGGAAAAATGGTACGATATAATGCAATATGCCTTAGAAATGCATTATACTGTAAAACCTTCTTTACACAGAGAAGTTTTATCAAATATCAAAAAATACTATTTCAAGGATCAACCGATTTCTGAGGATAATATGTTTTCTTTCGTAAAGGTACCTATATTCCAAAAAATTGATTCTAAATCTTTATTATTCTATGACTTCATTTTTTAGCTATTTTCAGATAGAATGTTTTTGGTAGACGCTGAAAAATCCGTAAGAATGCACGCTAATGCTACCCAATCCGAAGTATATTATTACCTATTTTCCTACATCGAAGATATGCCACATTTCCCGTTCGGAATGCCAAAAGGTGCCAGTCACGGCGATGACGGAAGACTTATGTTCAAAATGTTTTTAACGCCACCTAAATTGTCCGATAATGATGAGCAAATGATGGAATATTTTGCTGATTTTATTATCAATTTTGCTAGAAAGGGGTAATGAGTTGTTTAACTAGCAGTAATCATAAGTGAATAATAACTTGTTTTACTTTTTTAGAATACCATCGATGAAGTCGGTGGAATGGTTGCCGGTGAAACCAGATAAAGATTCAAACATTAATTACCTGCAAATAGCAGACCCGGATACTATTTCTATGAAATCAGTCGCTAGGCTAGCTCCGGATGACTTTTGGGATAGTTTACCTATCAGAGAGAATGAAAATGCTATGGCATCGTCTTCTGATATGGTACAAGGAAAATTTGTCATCATAAGTATTGTATTGTTTGTAATAAATGCGATTTAGAATTATCATGATTTCATGAATTTACATACCTACATAGGTGTACAGAAGGGAGAAGGGTTCTCATCGAAACGCGCCAATATATTATTATCGAAGTGGATTTTTTTTCATGCCAGAGTTTAAAACACTCTAATGAACTATGATAGGCTCTATTCTAAAGTTCACATAGAGTTTCTGGAAGACAAGAAAATGAGACGAAAACCATCTGGAAAGTTGTTATCTCTACTCGAAAAAGTGTATATGGGAATTTGGTAGAAATCCGGGGAAAGTATGTATGTATCAGAGATGCAAGTCTGGGGAAGTTTGGAGACATTTTGGAGGAGATCCGAGGAAGTCCAACAAAGTTCAAAAGAAATCCTAAGAAGATCAAAAAAAAAAAAAACTTCGGAGAGCTAAGGAAGCAGTATTGTATGCAAAAGTCGGTAGTAGGTTTCCCTCTTGCTTACGAAGTTGATGATTTTTTTTTTTTTCAATGCACATTTTTCAAATTTCATAACAGCTAAATCTATTTTTTTGGTACAATTAAAACTATGATGATGGTACAATTAAAGCTATGATTTTATAGAGGATTAAATAGACTTGTAGAAGCTCTATTCAAATTTATCATTCTGGAAAAATACGATTGTGAATGAACAGGCAGCAAAAGAGTATTTTTGGCAGTGTGAAAAATCTTCTGAACAGAATTGTGAATTTTTCGGGACATCCGGGAATGTCAAGGAATTTCCATAATGTTCAGGGGATATCCAAGGGAAGTCAAAGGGATTTCCGAGGAAGTCCCAGGAGATGTGGGAATGTCTAATGAAAAAATCCTGGCATTTTCTAAGGTAACAGCTATTTCCTTTGTTCTTTTATTAAAGTAACATTAGCTGCAAGGTATAGGTACCCTTCTTTCTCCATCAGCGTATGTATATGTTTAGAGAAATTTAGAAGAAAACGAACATTCAAGAACCGGAAATAGACAAAAACTGAGAATTAACAGAAGAAATGTAGAGAAATTGAGAAAAGAATGGTAGATAAAAAGATATTCATGTTTGTTGTGTCGGTGATGGCGTGGAGGACGAAATAAAACATTTTACTTTGATACTAATAATTGAAGTTTCTATTCACAATTACATAAATGTTCTCGTAGTCAAGAGGAACAATTCTAGACGCGGACATTTCCGTTCCATCGTTGACAAAAGACAAAATCTCGCCCGTCTTCTATTCGACGTGGAGAGTCAAGTGGAACACAGATAGATATATTGTTATCACTTGTTAGCTGAAGGCTCCTCTCTACTCTAGAACATAGAGTAGGTCATGTGATTCTGATCCGGCGTACTTACACCTCAACAATGTTTTTTCTATTCCAGGCTCTGCATTTTTTTTTTTCGACAAATTGAAGAGCAGGGGAATAACTTAAAATTGAGCGTGAAAAATAAACAACATTTGAGACAGAAAAACTGAGAATTAACTAGAGAAGAAAAGTAAGAAAAATTGAGAAAAAATGGTAAATTAAAGGAGATTCATGTGTTTTTTATTCCAGGATCATTAATTTTCTTTTTCGAAAAATTCAAGAGCCGGGATTAAACAAAAATTGAGCTGGGAAAATTTAGAAATAAAGAAAAGAAATTCAAGAGAAATTGAGAAAAAGGTGGTACACAAATTATGATAAAAGTAAATGGTCCAGACGAAAAAGACATGGTTTGGTAGAGCATAGGTACAAAGTATCATGATTTTGATAGCAACCATTGCAGGATACCCAAGAATAGCTAGGTACTTGTTAAAAATGGTATTATAGTCAAAGAAATAAGTTAGTTGGAATCACTAAATAGTGAGAGAATCTTCAAGGCCATATCGCTACCAAGAGAAAATGCATATGCAATGAAAATCTACAAAGCACCAGGAGCGAAGGTCAAAGTCTTCTGATCAAACTCCTTATTGTAACATCGATTACTTGAAAAACGATCATCCAAGTATAGAAAGTATATCCTGGATGATCCTAACTTAAAAATGCACTTGAAGTTAGCGACAAAAATAGGCCAAAGTTTATCAACAATCATAGATTACTTTTCATTGCTAGGAGGAGGATCTATAACAAGGGAAACTAAAAAATTTTCTGAAAAACTAGTCTGTGAAAATTGGAAAGAAAAATGGTAAGAGACCAACATAAATGCATTTCGAGAATTTCTATTCTATAATTTTAGAGACTTTTATTGAAGTTTATTCCATAAAAACTTTTGAAGCTAGACAACAAAACTAACAAAAATTGGATGTCTGAAGAAACACAAAATCACTTGGCTTCATCAGCAAAGCTGGAAATACAAAAAAAAATATTCAGGCAAGTGGTAAAAGTATCCAAAAATAAATATTTCCTGAATAGAATTCACCTTCGCAAATGAAAGAGATATTTGAATATCGTAAATGAAGTAGGTAACAGGAAAAACAAAGACGCATAGTAGACAAATCCGAACTGGCATGAATGGTGAAAAAAAGGAAAATCCATCAGAAGTTACAGCTAAGTTCAATGAGCATTTCGCCATAGCAGCTGCGAAAATTGTAGAACAAATACCAATTGTAAAAACTACAACATACCTGGCCCAGATAATGTGAATCGATGTTTCTTTCTGACCGCCGAGGAAGTTCTAAGGATAAGAAGCTCTCTTCCAAACAAAAGCTCAACAGGAGTAGCTGCTCCCAGCCGCTATAATTGAGACACTTTTATTTGGTAAGTATAAATTGTTCCTTCGACAGGGGAGATTTTCCTGGGTAGCCTGAAAATGTCCAAAATAATGCCAATCCAGAGAATCGAGAATCGGGCCCCGGGGGGGAGAAGAATCACTCCCTCCAAGTATATCTCCGTGTTGTCCATATTTTAAAAAATTATTGAAAAACTGTTAAAAAAACGACTTGGATTTTTGAATACTTAGAAAGATCATAACTTTTTTTGGTATTATAGATAGAAAGCTGAAATTTTCAGCGATTCTTATCCTCGCGTAGGACTACAATCCCTGAAAATATCAGCTCATTTGGACTTATATTTTCAGAAATAAAATAGCGTTAAGCAATTTTGGGTGAATTTTTCAATTTCCTGGCGTCCTTTTTTCAAATATTCCAGCATCTGATCTAATCTCAGAATAAGTTAGTGTATGGAGATTGGGGGGTCCCAATTGAACATTTAAACACAAAATGAAAAAATTTGAAATTTCATCATTTTAGTATCTACCTACTAAGGTTAATTTGGGTTTCAAGGGAAGAAAAACACTGCAGATGCAAAACACAATACAATGCCGTACATAATACAATAAAAGTATACAGAGAGCGAGGCGAAAACCAATCGATTGTTACAGTGTATTTACCGTATTTTAACTTACAAAAAGCATTTGATTGTGTGGTCCATATGGTGCCTTGTTAGCCAAGCTAGAGAGATATGACTACAGGGCTAAAATGAACCAATGGATTCGTTCATTCATCGAAAGCAGATACATAATTCGTATCAATTTGGAGGATGGTGGCAGCATGGCGTGGACTCGAGGGCTGAAGATTTAGGAATTGGCATTATAAAGGGATCAACACTGGGCCCATTTCTGTATCTTCTGTTCATAAACGCCCTCCATTCATTGCCTTTTAAAGGTCACATAACGTTATTTGCAGACGATACAACCATCACTTGGGTCGATGCGAACCCCGAAGAAATACAGAGAAATATAAACAGGAAGTAGAGATATGCTACTGCTACAAAACTGGTTCGAGGTCTATAAACCTAGCAGTCCCAAGGTGGAAAAAAACTTCGGGAACTATATAATAATTAGGTGCTTTTTAGGTGCTAATTAGGGCCTCTAATTAAAAATTAGATGATCCTTTAGTTTTTGAGAAAATCAAAAAAAACTAAGGGACTGCTAGGTTTATAAAAGCTAGCAGTCCCCTATAGTAAAAAATATTTTTTTTAAAATTTCTTCTTTGTATCAGAATTAGGTGCTTTTTAGGTGCTCTTAAATAGTCGAAGAAAAAATAGGATTGATTAATTATTAACTGAGTTAGAGATTTTTTTATAATTATTAGGGGACTGCTGGCTTTACGTTTACTTGTTGGTGTGTCAGAATGGCAAAAAAACTTCGGGATCTATATAATAATTAAGTGCTTTTTAGGTGCTAATTAGGGCCTCTAATTAAAAATTAGGTGCTCCTCTAGTTTTTGAGAAAATCAAAAAAAAACTAAGGGATTGCTAGGTTTATGAAAGCTAGTAGTCCCCTATAGTAAAAAACATTTTTTCAAAATTTTCTTTTTTATCAGAATTAGGTGCTTTTTAGGTGCTCCTAAATAGTCGAAGAAAATATAGAATTGATTAATAATTAACTGAGTTACAGATTTTTTTTAAATTATTAGGGGCTTGCTGGCTTTACGTTTACATGTTGGTGTGTCAGAATGGAAAAAAACTTCGAGATCTATATAATAATTAGGTGCTTTTTAGGTGCTAATTAGGGCCTCTAATTAAGAATTAGGTGCTCCTCTACACCTTTTCCATATGTATTTCAAAGACCGTCAGTTCAATTTCAGAAAGCGTCAATTGCAATTTAGATTAGTAAATTGTATTTCGGAAAGCGTTCATTGTATTCCAGAATATTTAATTTTATTTCGGAAAGGGTCAGTTGTACTTCAGATTAGTATATTTTATTTCAGAAAGCGTCAAATGTATTTCAGATTAGTTAATTTTACTTCGGAAAGTGTCAATTGTATTTTAGATTCATTGATTGTATTTCAGAAAACGTAAATTATATTTTAGAATTTGTCAGATGTAGTTCAGAAATCATTAATTGTATTTCAGATAGGTAATAATAATATAAGAACAGATTTTCCCAAATCAACACAAGCAAGGTGTGTAGGCAAACCATTATAAATTTCATTTAATACACTACATTGATAACATCTGAAATACATCTGACGGATTCTGAAATACAATTTATAATTTCTGATCTACAAATAAATAATCTGAAAAACAAATGGCGTTTTTTGGAATACAAATGACCAAACTGAAATACAAATTACTTTTTCTGAAATATAACTGACCAAACTGA